TTTCAATGTGGGCATCCGCCATTTTTTCTCAATGTGTCTATTCCACATGAAATTATATCACTTTTCTCATACTACTTATTACTAGTCGAGTCTGCCTCACGTCCGCCATTTTAACAACTATTCATCATGTTTCAGCGCTTCGTGTCATTATGGATAATCAATTCATCAAGATTCAATCACGTAAAGTCATAACTAAACTAAGGAAGCTAAGAGCGACACACGGTCATGATCTGGTGCACTCTTACCAGATAGACTAAGACCCGCTCACTGTATGAGTATGACAGGAAACAATACGCTAAACATGAAATACAAGATAGACCCTAAGACTCTATTTGTTTATTAATCTGTCAATTACTCGATTGAAAAATGATTATTTCCGGTTCCGGAATAGCCAGAGGTACTATCGTGCACCAAGGTCGTGTCCACTACCCAGCCACAGTGAGGGTTCGAATTGCCTTGAGTCTGAAGTTTCGAAACAGTTGGGGGAAATGCTATGGTCGGCCAACAGATGTCGCCCACTGTAGTGTGTGTGTGGGGGGGGGCTGTGTGTAGGTGGAGCATAACATCGTGAATTCCGCAATCACTGATAACAATAAGAATGTCATGAAGATAGTTAATATTATTAAGCATGGTGAGAGATGTGTAACGGTAAATAAAAGCACTACAACGACCATATCTCTGCCGTTCATGGCTACGACGGTGAGACTGATGGGCACACCAGCTTGGGGGTGACTACTGTAGGGTTTCGTGGTATAATGTTGTCTAGCACTCAGGATGGATGGAAACTCTAAGGTGGTTTTCTTGTATAATATAAGTTATATGATAGACAGTCTGGTGCTGGAGGTGCCGTGTGGTGAGGAGCTGCTCAGTAGAGACGTTCGGTGAGTAGCGTGTTGAAGGAGGTAGATGTGCAGGAGCTTCGTTAGAGAAGATGTTGCCTGTTGCTGGCCTCCTGGTTGAATGAAAGCTGGACAGCGAGGCGCTTGCTGGAGGAGGTGTTGCGTGTTCAGGAACCGAGAGCAGAATGAAAGAGCTGGTTGGTGAGGAAGCTCAGAGAAGGACAGCTGGTGGGTCGCCATGCTCGCTGGCGGGAGCGAGGACCGCCAGGCAGGCGGAGGAGAGGCGAGGGCCGCCAGGCAGCAGCGGAGGAGGTGTTGCTTGTTCAGGAAGAGAGGCCAGAATGAATCTCAATGGAGAGACAGAGCTTATATACCCAGAAGCCGTGAGTCATCTATGAGTCATGTTGGGAAAACCCGAGAAAGTCGCCGGTCTTTGGTTCCGTTGCTAAGATACTGCGGCATCCGATGACGCCCCCCGCTTGGGCCGCTAGTTTGGTTGCTAGGGAAGATGGTAGCAGCTGGTGGCTGCGGCTACGCAGTTGTAGGCAGTTGTAGGGGAGACGTCCACTACACTACCATTACTGGTAGTCACGGAGAATACACAAGTTGTTACCAAGGTTGGCGCCACCCACACCAGGGGAAGGATGTGATGTAGAAAGAGTTTTTCACTGATGCAAAGTCAATGGACAAATGAAAGGAACAAATTGAGTGTTGAAACAATGAAAGGACTTCTGATTGTACAGTACAATTTCCGAGAAACACCTTGCAGTGACTTCTATACCTTTCTAAAGAGCAATCAGCCAATACTGAAAAAGATCCGATCTACAGACAAGTATGCATGGGCACATCAAGTCACACACACAATGGGGGAAAAAGACTGCAGCTAAGGGAATGAAGATGTTCAGCCTTAAGCAAAGGTAATTTATTTTTTTTTTTTTAAGATTTCTATACCATGTATATTGTATATTAGCCTGTGTGTGCCCGGGGAATGTCTTCAGGAGCATCCTCTTTTTTGAATGTTCAGATATGGCAACCCTACCCTTGCCTGTCTGTAGTATAAGCTAGGCAAGTTCAGGCGCTCCAATCTCTCAGGGTAACCGAGGTGCCGAAGTGCAGGCACCAGTCTGGTGGCCCTCCTTTGAACATTTTCAACCAACTGACAATCCCTAGCATATCTCGGTGACCAGATGGGGTGACAGTACTCCGGATGGGGAAGCACTTCACTCCTGAAGATCGTTACGAGGGACAGACCGTCTAGATATCTGAACGACCTTCTTATAAGACCCAATAATTTATTTGCCTGATTTACCTTCTTCTCACAATGACCCGAGAACTTCAGCTCATTGTCAACATACACACCTAGGTCCTTCTCACATTCAGTCTCAATGAATATTAATTATTTAATAAAGAAAACGATTGAAATTTGGGTAAATAAACAAAATATAGAACAAATGAAGGTGATTTGGGATTTTGGCACCAGTGCGTAAACCACCGAGCAGCAAACAACAATCTCACTCTAAACCACCTTGTCCCTCTTCTTCACACAGAAGCCTCAATGATTGACTTGCAATTACAACTTGTTGCTGAGCACAAGCTAAAATCGTGCACAAGAAAAGCAAATCATGACTAACAAGTCCGTCTCTGGAAGCTGTGGGATGAATATGAAGAAAATATATCACCACTTCTAATTTCCTGAAAATTGTCAGTGTCTTCCAAGCCTGCATGAGTAAAAACAATGTTTTTATATATTTTTTACTTTTAGTCTTTCACATATTGTTGAAGTGAGGCGTTTTAACATTGTTATTATTTTTGTTTCGTTTTAGTCTTTAATAAATTGTTTACCGGTAAGCGAGATGCTTGCATGAGTAATAATGTTTTCATTTTATTTTAGTCTTTAATAAATTGTCTTTGTGATATGCGTGATGATCCAATGTATTGATATGCCAAGGCATAATTTCATAATAGAATTGTGTAAACTAGGTGTTTTAATTCTTTTCTATCCCAAGCAACAGTTATTTTTGTGTATACAGTAGTTATAATCTAAATAAAAAATAAACTAAAAAACTTAAAATAAATACAGCTCCTCCCCGTACGACCTACGACCACCCGCACTTACGACCTGCCTCAGTCGTACCAAAATTTTGTCAAATTACGTATTTTCGAGTCGCAACTTCAGTACACAGACAAAATTTTCGTTTGTAATTCACTTTAAAATGGCTGGCAAACTTAAAAGGGAGAGTTTTGCAGTGCTGAGAAGAAAAAGACACCCATTTTCGATTTTCTATGTATTATTTACGCATTTTCGACTTACGACCTGGATTTGGGTCCCTAACCCCATTGTAAGTCGGGGAAGAGCTGTAAATAAATAAATAAATATTGAAGTGATAACCGTGGTAACATTATGAGATGTTCGTATTACCACCATGCAATAGCATGGTACTATTCCAGATGTTACTAAACGTTACATAATACTTCCTTGAGATAACTGTATAGTATATATCAGGTCCCTAAAAGAGAGCTCAGGTTCTCAACTGGCTAAGCCATGTCAATATCGTTATTATTATCCATTCTGTATCTGTGTTTTTCTGGCTAAATAAACTGTTTCAATTCAATTCAATTCACCTTCTAAAAAGACTAGCTTATTTATTTGAGTCAACTGCTTCTCAAAGGCCAAGAACTTCATTTCATTGTCAACATACACACCCAGGTCATTTTCACATTAGGTCTCTATTAATGCTGTTTCTTTGTCCCTATGGAACAGGCAATATGCCTTCTTACTGTTGGTACGACCTAGGTGCATCGTCTTACACTTCGTGACATTGAATCTTAACAGTCATTTCTTCGACCACTCTTGAAGCTAGCAGAGATCTTTCTGTAGCTCTTCATAGTCTGTTTGGTTCTTAATTTCCCTGAATAACTTGGCATCGTCTGCAAATATTTGTATGCAGGAGTGTAATGTGTATAGCTTCTGGCATGTCATTTATGAAACAAACAAACAACAACGGGCTCAGTACACTGTACCCTGTGGTATCCCACTTGTCATGGGCACACATGACGATTTCCTGCCATTAATTACAACACACTGCTTGTGGTCATAAAGAAAATCTCAGATCTATGCTAGGACACTTCCCCAAATCCATTAGCTTCCAATTTAATTCTCAGCCTTTCGTAAGCCTTGGTAAAATCCAGCACCTTAAGTAATTGTATCTAGCAGAAGCGTACTGGCATGAAACCATCTTCGCAGTTCTGGCTTTACAGGGTTGTTTCGTAGAAGTTCCATCATGGCATGTTTTATAATGTTCTCTAGTACTTTACACACTGCTGGTCAGGCTCACTGATCTATAATTATTCATGTTAAGACCTTGATAAAATCACACGGGAAAAGTTGCCTCTGAAGATGTCTCGAATAAAGACGAAAGCTAAGGTGCTCCGTTGTTTCCCTTTTCCCGTGTGATTTTATCAAGATTTATCTTATCCACGTTTTCATTGTGGATCTACATGAAATCATGTTAAGACGATCGCCCTTCTTGAGTATTGCACTCACCATTTGCTCTTCCAGGCATTTACAGAACAGGATCTTAAGTGACTCAACAAGCTCGTTGCACAACTCTCTTAGCAGTCTTGGATGCACCATATCAGGGCCGGGACTCTTATGAACCTTTAGCTTTGCCAATTTTTTTTTTTTCCTATTTTCGCCACTTATCAGCTTACTAGCCATTCGAGCAGTTGGTGTATCCAGTGTTAGTACAGGAGGAAACCATGAACCGGAAAACCTGTGATGTTTGTTAGGGTCACTCTCGACATACTGTACTGTATCGACGAGATATATACACACGTTACTGCTGTACCACCATCACCCCCCACTGTACCACCAACACCCCCCACTGTACCACCAACACCCCATACTGTACCACCAACACCCCCAGTTGTATCACCCCCACCCATTGTACCACCAACATCCCCTACTGTACCACCAACACACCCCCCCCCCACTGTACCACAGAACCACCTGGCTAAAAATAGAATAATAATATCTCAGGATCAGTCCTCTGTTGCTCTATAACCAACAATCCTCTAATACAGTTTTCTTCATGATTTTTTTTAAACCTCTTCCAGTTTTTCATATTTTAACATTCCTATTAAAGGAAATAATATTACAAATTTAACTACTGTATATTTTTTATTTAACACAAATACTTATTATCATGCACATTTTATATTTTCATAGGCTGATAATAATACATATTGTAATAAATATAAAGGTACTCCTTACAATCATTTTCTTTATTAAATGAAATGAAATCAAACCTATACTAGCATGTTAGGAATTCTTTTCCAAATCCTTCAAACTTATACGGTAATGTTCTAAATTAGCAGGTAATTGTGGTCATGTTGACGAGCATGAGTTCATGTGGAAAGAAGTATGGTCATGATAAAGAGTTTGTTTATGTTGTTGTTGGTGTGAGTGAATATTCATGTTAACACAAGTGTGTTTATGTTTATAAAGAATATGTAAGTTGAAAAGAGTTTGCATTCATGTTGACACAGCATCAATTAATGAGTGTGTGTCTGAATGGAAAAGTCATTCAAAATAGGTTTACATGTTCTAAAGTTGGCATAGATTCACATTATATAATACTATCCCTTAGATTATGTCACGATGAAAAAGACACTAATTAGTCTTAATACTGTACTGATAAACACACATCAAATTTTAATCTGCTATATAAATTATAAATCCTCAATAATAGAAATTTGGTTCTATTAGTGACACTGAATTTACAGATACCTGTATTTAAAGATATTTTCAGTGAAAATTACTAAAAAAAACTAAAAAACTAAAATGGCACATTGCATTATAACCCAAGATATTATCCTATATTATGGAAGGACAGTTTTAGAGACAGAAGCGTGGGCTGTTTTCACAATTGTAGCAACAGGACTTGAAGTGGATATTACAGTAATTATTCCTTGCATCACTACAAGTTTTCTTGCATCAAACCAGTTCATCTCTTACCAAGACTTGACAATTATTGCCTAATTTTTCTGAGATTACTCAAGTACAATGTACATAAGTTTACATATCAAAGTCATCATTTAATTCATCAAAAAGCAGATTTGTTTTAGTATGACTAATCAGCTAGGGTTAAAAGTAAAAGCTTCATGGCTATTTCCAGGTAAATGTTTAATTAATATCCTATGAATACTGACTCTTCTCTCTTGATTTGTATCACAGTAACTTCTTAATCCTTAGTGATCCTGATGCTACACTATTGTATAGTGCTTGATTTAACATTTTGACTCTGAAATAAAAAAGGACATAACAGATAAATGTTAACTTATCCCAAACCTGGGAAACAAAAAATACACAATACAAAAGTGTGAAGAAACCTTTTTTTTCATAATCAATCACACAATTAATAAATACAGTCAATTAGAAAATTCGAAATATTACTCAGTACACTAGTCAAAAAATCAAATGCTTAATGGTGTAATTCACAAACACAGTCAACAGATTCAAAAATATTGAAACAAAAAGATACACTGTGTATTAATATTTCTAGTTCTCTATCATTTCCAAACACCAATACTGACTCAGAGATTTTTAAAACATGACTAGATCAGAAAACTCATGTATGGCTAACAAGGCTGTGGTTTGATGACCAGGATTCCCAGGACCTTTGGCATGTGTGACTGGGAATAAATTCAACATTTAATCTGAAAAACTTAAGTCTCTCCCAAGTTACAACACAGCTGCCAATCACACAGAGCTGAGAATCTTTGCTAACATGATAAATGTATATTCTTTACAATACACATTAGTCTGTCAGAAAATTAACAACATTATCAACCCCACTCGGCAGTTATCCCATCATTCCAATTGGACCTCCTGACTTGCTCAGTTTTTTATATTTAAGTGCTTCTTCCCCAAGCTTCCCAAAAAATATTTTGGAAGACTTATCTTTGGTAAGACTGTTGGGCATACACGCCTATGTGTTATTACTTTAGGAATGTTTATTCTGTTGCAAGAGTGCTTACATCTGCATAATGACCTTGTTGGTAGTTTATTGGAAGGCTGATATAAAGGGCAAGTACTACTAAGCCTCATGTTCTACACATGCCAATAGTGGAAAATAAGAGACATGACCAACTGTCCAAGCAGCTAACAAGATGATCAGTGGCAAAGAGGGTAATATATAACAACATCTAGCTCAGCCATAATTTACCAGATGGCTGACTACTAGGAGGATATTTTGGTTTCTTTGGATTTGAAATTTTCAACCTTTGTTGTTCAGAGTGCTGTAATTTTGGTCACAACCCACCAAGAGAATTTTTACCCTGAATTTAGCATTTTGTAATGCTTACATGTCATTATTTTTCGTTCTACTTCACACACAAGACTTTCACATGTAATCCTTATTGAAAGCAATTACGGTAATATACAAATCCTCTTTTGTATTAGTTTTAAATAAAATTTCCTACAACTTCCTTTGTTCTACATGGAAACTTTCAATTAGGACTGGGAGACAAAAGAACACTCCCCAAAAACTCAAAGCTAAATTCCTGGAACACAGTGTTCATCACTTGCACCAAACCAACATCTTTACAGATGGCTCTAAATCGGCAAATGGTGTTGGTTTTTCAGTAGTGGTCTATAATTTTACAATAAAGAGAAGATTACCTGCCTCTTGCATAATTTTTACCACCGAACTTCAAGCAGTCCTTGGTGCAGTAAAGCACATTTCTAACTCTAGTAATAATGGAGGTCAGTATGCTGTTCTTACTAACTCTCAAAGTGTTTTTTCTTCACTAAAGCAGTTAAGTACAGGAGCAGCTGGTCCTACTGCATTCTCAAAGATGGGCAAGGATGTGTTTTTGTTGGGTGCCTGCACATGTAGGCATTGAAGGAAATGAGTGTGCTGACCTAGCAGCATAGGAGGCAGTTGGCCTCCCTTGTCCTATGAGTGTCAATATACCTCATAGTGACCTGAAGGATTCAAGCCACTCTTTTGTTGCTGGGAAGTGGCAAGAACGTTGGTCGTCCCTAACAATAAAGACTAAACCGCGAGATATTCAACCTTTTATTCAACCGATGTGGTCCTCTTGTTTACCCAACAGGAGGAGTGGTATTGTTTTAAAGAGGTTAAGGATTTTCCACTCCCACCTCACATATAATTATGTGTTTATGAGTGAAGTTCAGCAACAGGCCCCTCGCTGCAACTCCTGTCACACTGACCTGACAGCTAACCATATCCTAAATGACTGCAGGTCTTTTAACCTTCAAAGGAGAGACAATTCCTTGAACAATAAACCCATCAACAAAAATTTAAATAATGAGGGAGACTGGTGCCTGCACTACAGCACCTCATTTATTCAGAAAGATTAGAACTGCAACTGCCTAGCTTATACAGTACAGTTCTGTATTACAGATGGGCAAGGGGCGACCTAATTCAAGATCATAAACATCTAAGAGGACACTACTCGGCCGAGTGTCCATACCTGGAGCTGGCGGACGCCTGCCCCACAAGGGATCACAGCTCAAAATTGAAGAAGCCACAAGTCCAGAAAACTGTGAGGGCAAACTTTTTCCTGAGTGAAAATTGTGAACTCTTGGAACAACCTACCAGAGGGTCTTGTGACAGCATCAAGTAAGAGCTCTTTCAAGACCAGATCATGACCAACACTGGAGCAGTGCATGACCAGTACTTGCTAATAGACCATAACAGAGACGTGAACAACTGCCCAAGCGGCTAAAGAGCAGATCAGTGGCGAAGAGGATAAAAGAATAAGTTTTAATATGGAAAAAATTATTTTAATTCGAGGCATGTGCTATGCAGCCTTGCATGCTTCGGTGCCCAGCGGTCCCAAGGTGGAAATTAAATCAAGTTTTTATTTTTTACCCAATCGTCCTTTCCATTAGTCAGAGGGGATGAAGCATCAACGGTTTTCATTTTGTTTTAATAGGATGTGGTTGTTTTTATATAAGGAATACCCTCTAATTGTAATACAGCACTGAATGACCTATTGGCTGCTTGGCTTTCAACCTAAATTCCATGGAAACTAACAACGTTATACTGTACAGTGTAACAAAATAATTACCATTATATTTCACTTCATCCTTAACTGAGCTACTAGACTTGTCCAAAGCACAACAGAGGGCCCATAATGATTGAGAAAGGGATTTTTTTTTTTTACGGGGAATAGCCTACCTGGGCACAGGTCATCAACCCACAACCGGTCAAAAAAATTAAAATAAAAAGAAATTCAAAATAGAAAAGAAAAAGATTATATTAATCTACACCACGAAGATGCTGGAAAACCAGCTTTTTAAAGTGAGACAGATTGTATGAGTATGGAAACACAGAAGAAGGCAGAGCATTCCACAGTTTTGCTGTGCGAGGAAAGAAGGATGTACTATAATGGGTTATTCCAGTGTGACCGACATTCACAGAGAAACGGTGGGCACTGTGGGCAAGACCAGTGCTACGAGTCCACGGCCTGTGGACACAGGATGCCAAATCCACCGGACATTGCCCGTTAAAGTATCTGTAAAAGAGAGAGTGAAGCAACATTGCGGCGAAGAGAAAGGGAAGAAAGATTATCAACTATATGAAGAGAGTTAATAAGACGAAATGCTTTTGATTCCACCCTATCTAACAGTTGGACAAAAGAAGAGCCACCCCAGATATGAGAGCAGTACACCAAGTTTGGACAAATGAATCCTTTAAATACTTGAAGCAACTGCTCAGGAGTGAAGTAGCTACAGCATCTGTATAGCATTCCCAGCTTTCAGGAGGCAGCTTTAGCAATGTTGAGGATGTGTGGCTTCCGTGACATATTAGAGGAAATGGTGAGGCCTAGCATATCTATTTCAGAATTTGGCAGAATGATTGCATCCTGAAATGTGATTGGTGGTATATCATCTAATTTGGAGAGTGTAATTGGTAAATACCGAGTTTTATTACTACATATTGAATTTAACCAAGTTTCTACCTCCCCATTCGGAGATACTGCACAGATCCGCATTGATAGATGAAATGATATCAGCTCGAGAAACAGATCCAGTTTGAGAATTAGAAGGAAGGGAAAAATGTGAAGAAGAGTGAAGGTAGAATTATCAATGTAAGAATGGATAAAATTAGTCATAGTGTTAAGTAAATCATTGATAAAAAGAAGGAAGAGAGTAGGAGAAAGAAGAGAACCCTGTGGGACACCACTATTGGTAGAGAAAGTGAGAGAGAGAGATCCCTCGACAACAACTGCCATGGATCGGTTTTCAAGGAAGCTAGAAAATAGAAAACAGAGAACAAAGTGGGGGAGAGAAACCATAAGAGGGAAATTTAGAAAACAAAGACTTGTGCCATACCCTGTCAAATGTTTTGGAGATGTTGAAGGCCAAGACAAAAGTTTCCCCATAATCCCTAAAAGAAGATGACCAAAGATGGGTGCAGTAGGAGAGCAGATCACCAGTAGATCTCGCCTGGCGAAAGCCATACTGGTGATCCAACAAAAGAGAAAGGCGCTCAAGTTGAAGGAGAAAATTAGAGTTAAAATAGTTTCGAAAATCTTAGAGAGGGATAAAGTTAGGGCAATGGGACGATAGTCAGAAGGATTGGAATGGTCACCCTTCTTCGGGACGGGCTGAACCAAGGCATGCTTCCAAGAAGAAGGAAAAGTTTGGGTTTTGAGGCAAAGGCAAAAGAAGCAAACAAGCACAGGGGCCAGAACTTCAGCACACTCCCTCAGAACACGTGGCCTGTATACAGGCCTGTTAACTAAATGTAGTGCAGTTATACTCTCAATTAAATCAAATTAAAGTACAGTACAGGTTGAACCTCCCTAATCTGGTACTCTATTAGAAAATGCCATAGTGAGTTTCCCTTCTCACCTCCATCCTTAGTGCAAGATCTCCTACATGCATGTATGTATGTGAGCCTAACAGAGAAATTTGAACACTGGCCACATAGACCATGCTACAATATGTTTGACAGTTGATGCCAAGGTCTAGTGCTCATTTATACATCTGTCCTTAAGAGTGACTAAGTTTTTCTCTTATAAAATATCACTGAACTGACATGGGAGAATAATTTTAACATTGTTGGAATTCTTATACGATAGTGATTAATTTTAATATAAACATGCTATAGCTCGCATTAAACATACAAAGAGCAAAATTTTTTATCTCTTTTGCAAAATATATGATGTTTATATTCAAATTATTTATTGTCTTGCAAGGATTCCAGCAATACAAATTATATTCTCCTAACTTTAGTCTGTGACATTATATAAGATAAAAACTTTAAGCTTAAAACACCAAACCCTGGCAGGGAGTGAGGGGAGGGAGTGAGGGGGTGGGGGAGTGAGGGAGGGAGGGGGGAGTGAGGGGGGCGAGTGAGGGAGGAGGAAGTGACAGTGACATGTTTGACAGTTGCTGCCAAGGTCTAGTGAAGTATTTATTTGTTTATTTATGTCCTTTAGATTGAGTTCAAGATTTTTGCTTTAAAAATGTCACAGAAGTGACTGGAGAGAATATAATTTACATTGCTGGAATTCTTATAAGATGGTGATTAATTTGAATATGTACATGCTATAGTTTGCACTACACAAAAATTTTAGTAATCATTAGTACATTATTTTGAGTACATGTACAGTACAGCTTTGCCCTTAGGACAGTCTAGTGCGCCCAGAGAAACATTAGGAGCAAAATTTTAAATATGATGCGCCAAATTGGCCCATCAATAATACTATGTATTTTACAAAGACCAGCTGTGGCTCGGAAAATTCTATAGTCCGGCACCGGTCAGGTCCAAAGGGTGCCGGATTAGGGAGGTTCAACCTGTACAAGAAAACATACCATACTATCTATCATCTAACACGAGGTGTAAAACTTAGATTCTCTCACCTTGACTTAGGCATAACACTTAGAACTGGATTCCTGCCTGCACATCCCAAAGAGTATCTGCTGACTTCTTCAATTGGTTAATTTCTTCTTGTGTGAGCGTCTGCTTAATGACATGAGTGACACCATTCTCACCCAACACAACTGGCAGACTCAGGAACACATCCTTGTCAATGGTATGGTAACCCTGGGGTGATGATAAAGTAATAAATTTTTGCACGATACAGTACTTAAGGTAACTCGCACTGCACAACCAATCAGATACATAAAATAGCAGATAGGTATCAAAAAAATATCAACACAGTCTAGCGATTTTTCTCATCAGTCTCAAACATGTTTTGTTGAGTAGTGGTGACGTTTTTTTTTTTAAAGAACTGACACCAACTATTGTTATGAATTTTACATAAATTAACAACATGAAATTACAGGATTGACAGGAAAATCACCACAGAAATACTGCAATACAAAGAAAACTAGTTCTCATAACACTTTGGATATTACTAATCTTGATACAGTATAAAAAACAAAACGTTAAGATCCGACATGAATTTAAAACATTAAAAACATTACATAAGACAAGATCTAGATAAAAGGCAAAATCAGGGTACAGGAACTTCAAATACTGGAATGGGAGGGATGAAAGGAACCACAGTGCAAGCTCATCCAGGGAAAGCATCAAAAGCAAGATGTATTACAGTACACCATTTGCACAACTATCAATTTGGCAATAATCTAATTCTCTAACAGCATTTTACCTAATGAGTTAAATTTAATATTATTTATGTAATGAACACACACAACTCTGCCATATCATCCAGATATAATACAGGACTACGTATGGAAGATGTGTTCTTATGACCAATTTTCGATCATCCTTGTCTATTTTACTAATGCTGCTTCTTCTCTTGAACTACAGTACATACACAGTGCACCCTTTATTGCTCTCAAAGAAAAATTCTCACACACATCTTCATGCGGTCCAAGGACTCATATTTTCCCATACTCTAACTACAGGGGAACCATTATTATTGCTTCTTCCTTCCCTTTTCTTTCTAAATTACTTCTAACTTGCTCCCATATTTCTATTTTACATATAACTTCTTCCTCTTAACTCTCATTTTATCTTATTCCAATTTCTTAATTGACTACTCTCTCATTTTCCTTTCTTACTTCTAATGTTTAACTTACATCCAATACCCTACTACAGTAAAGTATCTGCCTACTCAAAATCTCCTTTATAAAATACCCCCACAGCCTATATGCACTTACTGTAAACCTACATTGTCTATATTCATGACCTGTATAACTGCATAATTACACATGTCTATCCAATTGTAAACCTGTATGACAATTTTACTGAATAAATATTATTATTAGTATTTTTATTATTATCTACAGTACAATATTCAATATAAGATTTAAGTACCCTGTATTCTAATTGTGAAATTTAAGAATACAGTACAGTATAGTAATAATAATATCATATTCACCACTCATCAGCTTACTAGCCATTTGGGCGGTCTATCCAGTGTTAGTACAGGAGGAAACCGGGGACCAGGAAACCTGTGGTGTTTGTTAGGGTCACACTGGATAACACCCTTCTCACATGTGTCCGGGCCGAGGCTCGAACCCTTGACATATTGGCGAGAGTTATGCTCATTACCGTTATACCACCAACACCCCTTTTATTTCATTTTCCATTTATTGCATGAAAGTAAATGAGGAGAAATTGGATATGCAGTTAACTGAATATATATATATATATATATATATATATATATATATATATATATATATATATATATATATATATATATATATATATATATATATATATATATATATATATATATATATATATATATATATATATATATATATATATATATATATATATATATATATATATATATATATATATATATATATATATATATATATATATATATATATATATATATACAGTATATATGTATGTACAGAATGTATGTATGTGTGTGTGTGTGCATGTGTGTGTGCATGTATGTGTGATGAGTCTACTTGTCTTCATGTGACTTTAAGTAGGAAGTGTTAAATGAATATTGATGTAAATTGGTGTACTGGTATATGCATAGAATAATATATAACCAAACAGACACTAAGGACAGTACTGTACATTACGATGGCTATTACAGGCTTTCCTTCAACACATGTTCAACACATGTTCAAGACAGTACAGAACAGTATTTGCTTTATGCAATTATTCATTTTACAGAATCCTTTTAGTCCCTAACCAAAAAAAAAAATCAAGAAGGGAACCCTTATGTAACCTGGGGGATGTCTGTATGTTCCTTTAAACGAAATATATTGCTCTAGTACCCCTTGTACCAGTCTTTATTAATTGAACTCATGCATGTTTGCCAGTGATTAATCTAATAAAACTAACGAAGTAAATGGATATACTGTAAAGGGTTTTTTTCCTGTGGGAGAGCCTAAGAATATCTACTGTGCATTACTCAGTTCTTATTTTACAATATACAGGTACAGCATATGTATACCGCACTGGTGTTTAACACACAGTAACTCGTGTTTGTACCATGTTCTAATTACAGAATGTTGAAAATTCTCATTCTCAGTTTTGCTCTGTACTAGTGGGCAACTGTAGTCATGGGCAAACATTACTTAAATTGTGAACCCCGTTTGTGAGGTCTAATGCTGCACTGGTTTCATTTAATAATAATTGATATTCAGTGAATTTGACCAAGGACAGCTGACAAAGCCATGAGAGTCTTTATTCCAGCAACACCTGATGTTCTTATGGCCAGGCAGTCACCCATCCAAACCCTAATCAGGCCAAATATTGCTTAACTTCACCGATCAGACAACAAGCAGTGTTTCCAACTTGGTGCTACTGACACTTACTGACAGATTTATTCCTCACTTTTAAGGCTCTTGCTCATACTCATTTCGATACATGAACAAACCTAAGCCCTTGGTTCATAATATAACGGAAGTGATCATTCAGATTCAGATTAGGCAACATCTGAAAACCACTTCCAAACCCTCAAGTAGCAAACCCATATTTTGAAGTGATAAAACCTAGAGCTATTCTAACATGTGGATACAAATATCCCAACCTAACATAACAAAGTATAGTACAGGTTGTACCTCTCTAGTCCGGCATTCTGTGGTCCGGAAACTCCCGTGGTCCGAAACGATTTTAGTTTGTCCAATAGGTAGATAGGCAGCCTTTTCTTTTCTTTTCTCTTTTTTTTTTTTTTTTTTTTTTTACTTACGTATATCTCGGCCTACAAGGCGACAGGGTGTAATAGACGGCCCCCAAAATTTCCATTTAAAAAGTAGCTTTTGAGCCCTATTTGCTGTATAAGACCGGTACCCCAAATGTGACACTTACCATTGGGAGCTTACTGACCCAGTAGTCCTTTACCAACCATCCCATTGACCAGTGCTGTTTACACATCCTTGGTTTTTTAAAATAAAGCCAATTCACTTCAAGTAATGGCATCAAATTTTACCGGTTGGTGTAGTGTAAACACTAGTGACTCACTTAAAAGTTTGTTATTTAACTTGAACTAATGTCGGTGTCGAATACAATTGTTTCATTTACTTAAAATGGATTTACCGATTTATTTGTTTATTTATATCATACTGTAATATATTAAACACACTGGAAGTATTTTCTTTAATTTATAAGCTTGCTTCAGCGAGCTACAGTATTCTAATTCAATAGTGTTTCATTAGGATTTGAGTGAAAAAGATTACTGTACATACTTACTACATACATTTATTACACAAATATATATATACATATATATATATATATATATATATATATATATATATATATATATATATATATATATATATATATATATATATATATATATATATATATATATATATATATATATATATATATATATATATATTCACAATATTTTATAATTGCAGTCATGTACTGAATATTCTATGTAAAAAATATAAATTTTAAATGAATTATTTCTAGTGTGGTCGACTTCCTACACAAAGACGGGCTATAAATAGCCGTCTTATCTCCCCTCTGTTCTGAGAGAGAAGGTCTTGGTAAATAACTTTTGTTTGTTTATTTTCATTGTTTGTCAAATTTATCATGTTGTATCAAAGTAATATTACTAAAAGTTTTAGGCAGCTACCAAACAGGGAGATTCTACTGCCTGGGAAGATATTGGAAGCATAATGTACAGTATTGTCTAATGGTAGACCCTACTTCCATATGGCATCACGAAAATTGTGACCAAGTCTTAGGTTGCTGATTTATCTTACTGCCTCATTTACACACAATTACTGAGTTTCAATTGTTTCTCTTCCTTTGACAACACAACATACATACAATATAATGTTTCACCTTTGATCTTTTTTCCATTTATTTATGGTTGGTTATTTAAAATAATGCCAATTCACTTCAAGTATTGGCATCAAATTTTACCCGCTGTTGTACACTAGTGACTCACTTAAGCGTCAGTTATTTAACTGGAACTAATGTTGGTGTGAGTAAAATATTTCCATTTACTTGAAATAGATTTGCCGATTTATTTGTTTATTTATTTAGTTATAATATATTGTAATACATTAAACACACTGCAAGTATTTTCTTTAATTTATATACTTGTTTCGCGAAAAAGGGAGGCTACCATTATACCTGGTAGGTGAAGTTGACCAGACATTTATGATCATTAAGGACCAAACTCCGAATCCAGAATTCATGACGTGACTTCTGTTCATCATTCTCATCCTAAATTTACCACTGTCGGTAGTTTCAAGAATTAACGCAGTCATTTACTGAATATTCTTTGTAAAAAAATAAAATTTAAATCAATTATTTATAGGAGATAAATATTATTATGAGTAAATATACCGATACCGGTATGCATTACTGACCACCTCCACGGCTAAAATTTGCCCAATCTCGTGGTCACTTTTTCTTTCTTGTCTCCTCACTGGCAAATGGGGGGGGGCGTGGGGAGGGGTGTGTGATGATAGCTGTGTTTATTACAGGGGTATATATCTCTTTTACGGTATGTTAGACAGGTTTATAATACATTTTTATTATTTTAATATACCGGTAATCTTAATTTGAATCCAGCTTGCCAAACGTAAGTTTCAGTATAAAATAATTAGTGGTAAGACCTTGTGAGTGGCTTATGATGT